GTCTTGCGCGCGCGAATGTCCACTTTACCTTATTTTTTGCAAGGGATTCTTGAAGTTTGGTTATGTTAGAACAAGAAATGTCCACTTTAGCTTATTTTTTGCAAGGGAAAACCGATCGTAACAACACAACCGGATCCGGACCAACCCGTTTTGCCTGAGACTTCCTCACGAAAATGATGAAAATGAGGCTGCGGCCTAGGCGCGGCGGGGGGGTCGTGCACCAGGGGCCCCAACAATAATTATTCTTTAGAAGTAATAATGTTCAACAACAACAACAACAACAACAACAACAACAACAACAACAACAACCACAACCACAACCACAACCACAACCACAAACACAACCACAACCACAACCACAACCACAACCACAACAACAGCAACAACAGCAGCAACAACAACAACAGCAGCAACAACAACAGCAGCAACAACAGCAGCAATAACACATCGAACAACAAAAAAAAAAAAAAAAAAAAAAAAAAAAAAAAAAAAAAAAAACACGCCCAGAACCCCAGACCCCATCACGCCCAGAGCCCCAGACCCCGTCACGCCCGGAGCCTGGATCGATCTGTGAGGGTCCCGGGGCCCGAAATTCAGCGAAAACGCCCGTTGCGAAAGAATTGCGACGCCAGGATCTCAGGGTCGACGCTGGAGGTCTCGATCCACTCCCTGGGGCCAGTTTTTCATCCTGAGTCGTTTTTTGACGGTCCTGGGGCCCGGGCAGGGCCCCCAGAAGCTTAAGGTAGCGAAAAGCCTCCCGTCGTGATGTGTTCATGACTCGAGGGGGTCTGGGGTCTGGGGGGGGGGCCGGGAGGGCCGCCTGGCGCGCCGTCTTTGTCCTGCTGGGCCGGCGGCGGCGGGGCCTCGTGGAAGGCCGCTGGTGCGGGCGCCTTGGCGGGGCCAGCTGGGCGTGAGCCGGTCCGCGCAGGCCCAGAGACCCGACGCTCCAACAGACTGTGGTAGTTTGCGGCCTCCGGGGGCCTTCGCCGGGCCTCGGGAGCGCCAAAAGATACGACTCGGAACGAAAAGCTGGCCCCCGGGGAGGTGGTCTGGACCTCCGGGGCCCACGCATCGAAAGAAGTGGGGCGGCTGGATGTCTGAGGGGCTGGCCTCGGCCAGCACAGGGGGCCTGGGACGTACACAGGAAGAGCTCTGGTGTCGGCGTGGGCAGCCGGCGCCGAGGGCGCGAGGTCGACCGCCGCTCCCGCCCTGGAGCCAGACATGCAGCCGCTCCAAGTTTTGTCGATGCGTTTCGGGTTGACCCGAAAGGGGGTCCAGCGACAGGGGGGTGGTGCAATTGATTTGGTGCGATAGATTTGTGGGATTGCAGTACATTGAGGGGCGTGCAATACAGTCTGGGGCGCAAGTACATTGCTGGATTATCGCGTGCAGTACATTACTTGCAATACAATGCAATACAATTCTTTGGCGTCATACATTTGCAATACAACTGCCCGAAATCTATTGCACCACCCTCTTTCAGCTGGACCCCCTTTTACGTCACCTAAAGCGCTGGCCCTGGAGGTCCAGACCACTCCCCTGTGGCCAGCTGTTCGTCCAGAGTCCTTTCTTTTGACGCTCCCGAGGCCCGGCAAGGGCCCCCGGAGGCTGAAAACTACCAAAATCCCGCCGCTCCAATGCTCTTTTGGAGCGTCGGATCTCCGGGGGCGGAGCGATGGCGCAGGCGACCTCCTCCTCCTCCTCCTCCTCCTCCTCCCTCCTCCCCTCCTCCTCTCCTCCTCCTCTCCTCTCCCCTCATCTTCCTCCTCCTCCTCCTCCTCCTCCATCCTCCATCCTCCATCCTCCCTCCTCCATCCTCCATCCTCCTCCCCCTCCGATAATCCTTTGGCGCGTCGGATTTCTGGGGGCGGAGCGATGGCGCAGGCGACGATGCGGGCAGGCCAGGCGCCGAGGGCGCCTGGTGGGCGGCGGGCCGCCGCCCGGGAGCCCCACGGGGGGCGGCTCGGAGGATGGCCAGAGGCGCGCGGTGTCGCGAGGCGCGGGGCTCCGCTGGCGTGAAGTCGGGCCCGTCCCTCTACAGGGGGAGTATTCCAAAATAGTTTTAAAAAAATAGTCCGGGGACTATGTTTTGAGTATTTTCTATGTTTTGAGTATTTTTTCATTTTTCGTCGAAAATCCCCCTGTAGGGGGACACGCCCGACTGAACGCTGGCGCCTTCTGGAGGCCGGCAGGGCGGCCTCGCCGTGGCCGGCCTCCAGACCCAGACCCCCTCGCGTTGAGAATCACGGCGCGAGGTTTTTCGCTAATTTCGACCCCTTCGAGTTGAAAGTCACGACGCGAGGTTTTTCGCTACTTTCGGCCTCCGCGGGCCTTTTACCGGGCCCCAGGAGCGTCAAAACACGAGTCAGGAGGGCAGAACTGGACCCGGGGGAAGGGGTCCAGACCTCTAGGGAAGGCTACGTTGCGAAAAATGCATGGCGTCCGGGGGAAGGCGCGCCCGCTTGGGTGAGGGCGGGGCTTCGACGAAGAAAAACGCCATCAGCAGATTTTCTTGGCGCTCCGCGCGGATTTCTTGGATCCGCGCTGGGCCCTCCTGGCGGCGCCTCCCGCGCCGCCCGTGGCGCGCTGCGCGCGCCAGGGAGGGGGAATCCAGCGCAGATCCAAGAAGTTCGCGCGGACCTCCAAGAGTTTATGCTCATGCCGTTTTTCGTCCTCTAGGCATGGCGGGGGGCGGTCGCGCATCACGATGCGAGGCGGTCGCTGGCACCGCCGGGGGGCCATCTCGGCCGCGCAGGAGTGGAGGACGAGCCGCCAGAATTCGGCGCAGCAGCGGGCGCACGTCCAGCCGAGATTGTGGAGGTGGGGCTTCCATGCTCTGGAGGGATGCCAGCGAGGCGGGCCTTCTATGAGCACGAGGCCGCGGTCGGTGGCGGCATGGAAGACGAACGAGCCGACTGGGCCGCCCCGCCCGCCCAGGGATGGGAGCAGAAGCCCCTGGACCCCGCAGGTGCAGAAGTCGCAGCAGGAGCTGATGGGCCCGTGGCCGACTCCGAGCCTGTTATCGAAGGTGGCTCAGGATGGGAGGAGGGTGGCGCCACCGTGATGGTGTCCTCCTCGCCGCGCATGGCAACCAGCAGCTGCTGGGAGCTTAGGGGGAGGGACTCGCGCCAGTCGGGTCCTGCTGGAACCCGGCGCGAGCAGGATGGAGTTCGGGGCCAGTGGAGTAGCGGCCTGCGCTGCGTCGGCGTCCTCGTCCTGGTCCGACGGGGGGGTCGCGGGCGCAGTCCCGGCAGAGCCAGGCTGCTGAATGGGCTCCGCTGAGGTGCACACGCTGCTTGGCGTCGGCAGCGATTATGCCACAGATCGCGCGGACCTCCACATCCCGGGACAACCAACGGGGCAACCATCGGGACAACTCTCACACCACAGCCGTCGCGCGGGGCGACTCGTCCCTGTCTGGCTTGGGCCCTAGCTACTGGACGGACTCACGCAGCTTCGCCTCGCCCGCACGCACGTCACGCACGAAACGAAACGATTCCCTGGTTTGGGCACCTGGCTCACGCCCCTTATTCTCGATCGATGTACACACACACACACACACACACACGCACCTGCGGAATGGCGACGGGTCGGAGGAGATGCGAGAGCGGTGGAGGAGTGGGAGGCGAGCACAGTGCGGCATGCAAGAGAGGAGAAACTCGGGAGGGATGGAAGGCCGATTGATAGCGGGCGAAGCCAAATTGCCACCGAAAGTTCCTTTCGAGCCGAAGCAATATTGGATTTATCGCAGAGTTCCGAGCACGTCTTATTTCCAGCAGAAAGTCGTTACCACCAGGTCGATCTTCGGAGCGAGCCCAAATCAGCAAGAGCATCCGCAGTGAAATCCAGAGAGCCAGGAGACAGGAGAGCCGGCGGCGAATTGGAGAGATCTTGGATCAGTTCAAAGGCATCTAGCTTATACCTCGAACAAAAGCAGCCAAGAAGAAGTCATTCATCCCGGCGGCCGTGGACCAGCAGGGGAGGACGCATTCCGATAGACAGGGCATCGCGGACGTATTCGCTGAGTTATACGAAGACTTGTACCGAGCACTTGGCCCCTCCGCAGCTGCCAACGCCTGGAAGAGTGGCAGCATCCTTCCTTCTGTTGCGACTGAAGTTTGGGCGTAAATCAAAGCTTTGAAGCGTGGGAAGGCTGAAGACCAGGCGGGCATTTCCAGCGACATGGTCGAAGACGGCGGGCAGATTCGAATTGATGCTAGTTCTTCTTTTTAGCGACATTATCGAAGCGGGCGCTCTCCCACCAGAGAGTTGGACACCGCAGTTGTTGTCCAAGGACGGCGACCAGAAGTTGCCATCCAATTATCGTCCGATCACTGTCATACCACTCCTGCACAAATTGTTCAGCCGATTGATCAGACGTCGTCTGATGGCAAACTTGGACAGAGCGCAATGCGAAGACCAAGCCGGGCTTAGAGCAGGGCACAGCACGGAAGACCAGCTACTTCCTTTCGTTTTCTTGCACGAGAAATGTGACGAGTGGAGGCAGCTAGCGTGAGTGGCGACATTACAGTTTTAAAAGAAAACATTCGACCGTATCTCGCACGATAGAATTGAGCTGCATTGGAGGAGCAAATCGCTCCTGTGCCATACTTTCATATGCTGTAAAATTCGTATGCCGATCAAGGTGGTGTTATGATTTTAGGCAAGACCAGCCGAGAATTCCCGATGTGACAAGGGACTAAGCAAGACGATCCTCTGAGCCCGATGTTTTTGAACGCTGTTCTTGAATACGAAATCTCGATGGCAGTCAAAGTATGGTGGGTATTATTTGGGAGAGCAATCGATTAACTAATCTACGTTTCGCAGACGACGTCCTGCTGGTGAGCAACACGCTGGTGGGCTTGAAGCTGATACTGGGCGACGTGGCGGCGGCATGCAGCGCGCACGGTTTGTCTCTTCATCCTGGCAAAACGAAAATTTTGACCAACATGCTGGCGAGGCGGGGTGAACTTGCTCAAAGACACGTTTCAGTGCGAGGAATGGACATTGAGCTTCTGGGGCGGGTAGATTCCACCAAATATCTTAGTCAGAAGATCTCGATCCAGGACCCCCAGAAAGTGGAGCTGGACAACAGAATCAAGAGCATCTGGAGGAAGTTTATGGCGCTGAATGGCGAGTTGACGACCACCAAGTATCCAATCAGGACCAGGATTCGCCGATTCGAATCCGCGATTACACCGTGCGAATTGTATGGCTCGTCATGGTGGACGCTTACAGCAGACCTGGAGCAGGTATTCATCCAAACGCAACGCGAAATTGGTAAGAATGGTGATCGGGTCTGGCCGGCGCCGACTTCCACCCGCTTCTACTTCCCAGGCTGCGTCGCCGGAGTTTGCCGGTCGATCTCCTGTTTCTGATCATGCTGTTGAGAAGGAGGCAGAGGAGGAGGAGGAGCATCACATCGAATCGTGGGGTCTTTGGCTGCAGAGGACGGCACGACACGTAGAGCAACAGCTGGACACGCTGGCGATAGTGGACTGAAGGCAATACAGGAGGCGAAAATGGCGACGTGCCGGCAAACTGTTGCAGTCCGATCAGGGACTGGTCTCACGCAGCTTTTGGTTGGGAGCCGGGGCGCACGCATTCGAGGAGGGAGCGCGTTGGCAGGCCCCCCATTGATCGGGCGAAAACTGGAAGACTGTATCTTCTAATTCTAAATGGTGGGATTATCGGGATAAGTTCTACGCGGACCTCTGAGCGCAGCTGCTTTCTTCCGCCAAATCGTTGCCCGGGGCGGTTCCGCCCGCACTCCAGCAGCGCGCCGCGCTCCCTTTGATTGGGGCCAGCCGCTGGCTGTTTAGAGCGAGTCTACGTGTGAGTCTTGGCTGGTGGCAAGCGCATCCGTAGTCGCACCTGCAAAGACCAAGAGTGTCTGGCTAGACAGCAAAGAGGAAGACGGGAATGGGGCAGACGCGCTGGCAGAAGTCACCGCGATGGGGTGATATGCCCAGCTGCCGAAGTTGGTGCGACAGTCGGTTTTGTAAAATGAAAGTGGTACATGCCAGAATGGAAGGAGAGAAGGAGGGATAAGACGAAGGAGGGGCGAGGGTCGGAGAGATGCGAGTCGACGTCGAGGAGATGGGATTTGAATTCGGAAAAACGTAGGCTGGAGTCGCAGAAACGAGAGCGGCGGTCAAAGACACGAGACTTGGATTCGGAGATATGGGTGCTAGAGGAGGAGATATAGGAGGTAAGGCCGAGTCGAAGCGATTGAATCTTGAGTCGGTGAGACGTGAGACAAGATGTGGCGCAGGAGAGAGGATTTGGTGCCAGATCGGCACAGAGGCCAGGAGGAAAGAGGAAGAGGCAAGAAAAGAAGAAGAAAGAGGGAGAAGGGAAAGGGGGAGGGAGGAGGAGGAGGAGGAGGAGGAGGAGAAGGAGGGGAGGAGCCCAGGGAGGCGCGGGACCGTCCGCTGCAGGACAGCACCGAGACGGCGGTGGTGGAGGAGTACCTCAGGGCTCGCTGGCACACGGCACTTCCGGACGAGGCCGCCCACGTCCGTCCTCTTCAATCGGCGGCGGGCGAGGGGGGGGAGTGAGAAGGAAAAGGCCTTTTCAGAAGGTTCGGAAGTCCCCCGGCCTTCTGAGAAGTTTTCGAAGCCTTCCCCGAAGACAGAAAAAACCTTTCGGAAAGCGCGAGGGTTTCTGAGAAGCCCCGCCGCCTTCTGAGAGGGCCTTCTCCTTCTCATTTCCCCCCCCCTCGCTCGCCGCCGATTCAAAACCTTGCCCCGCCGTGCGTCTCCTGGACACTTGGCCGTCCCGTCCGCGGGCCATCCGCGCGCGATTGAGCGCCACTATTAGCCCGCGGGGCACGGCCAGCCCGCGCCAAGCATCAGGAACGCAGTCGGCTCGGTCTCTGGGTATAGGTTGGTGGAGAGTCTGCCCACGCGGTATCATTCGGCTCTTCCGCGGCGGTCATTGCCCGGGGATGGCTCCAGGCTTCCCATATAAGGTCGGAGCAGGTGGGGTCGGAGGATCGCGCTGCATCGCCGATGCATGGCCGATGCGGCTCGATGTGAAGCCCGATTTGCTTCACGTCGCTGTCGCCGATGCGTCGCCGACCGCGACGATGCATCGCTGGTGCATCGCCGATGCATCGCCCAGTGCATCGCCGATGTATCGGCGATGCGGCGCAATCTCCCGACCCCATCTATCCCGACCCCATCTAGGAGGCCTCTAATAACGAGATGGGGGGGAGGCAAATTATCAAGTGGGGGAGGGCGATGGGGAGGAGGGGGACGGCCTGATGCAAGGCGGAGTCGAAGGTCAAGCGTCACCGACCGATCCGGACCGCTGCACCATACCTGGGGCGGGGCTCATCTGAGAATGATCGCCGAGGTGATGCCAAAAGCTGCTTAGCACGCCTCTCGACCATGCGAGTCGGGGAACCGCGGGGGGTGCCAGACGTGGCGGCACTCCACAAAGCACGACGACGCTGGACGTAGCAGTGAAGATGGGGATACCAGAGGTACCTTCGATCCATTGGGAAGCTAAATAGTCGCCCCGAGCGAGGACCCTCAGAGCACTGGAGTGGCAGAGACCGCGCCAGATTGGCGTCGGCCCCCACACGGGAAGGTCCAAACCTGCATTCTCCGCCAGGGCTGCCCCAATCGCCAAGCCTGCAGAGAGAGAGAGAGAGAGGACGCGACATGCGAGGACCTCGAAAAGCATGTGCTCTAACCATCGGGCCCGCAATCGACTCCCGTGCTGGACAGAGACGGCCCTCGGTGAGTCGACCTCACCCCTGCGGCGTCGCCACGACGGCTGTGGCCGTCCCCATCCTGCTCCTGGGCGGGGCTTCCCCGTCCTCACCACGCAGCAAAGAGAGTACGGTAGAATCGCGTCGTGTCGACGCGGGCGGGGCGACCCCGAAGCGGGCATTCAAGGTTGAACGCCGCCAGTTGCCCAGAATCTGCCAATATGGAACGATTTGGCGATCGAAAACCACCGATCGTCCAAGGCTGAGCAGTCCTCGCGGTGTCAGAAGCCAACGCCAGGGTCATCACGGCACCAACCAGGCATACACGCCAGTCGTTGAATCTTACGTATTTTTAGATTCCCAGATTTCAGTATATTTCAAGCGCCTTCCCACTTCAAGAATCGGCGTGCCTTTGCTGTGTCTTGTGATTCTCTGCAAGGGCCCGAACCCAATCTACTTTATCCGCCTTCCTACTTAATATGTTTACCTATTTCTACCGACCGATGTGTAGGTCCTTCAGGTCCTTGGGATCGGCTGTCCGTGGAGCCATTCGCGAACGGCCTCGCGGGGTGCGCGACGAGAATCGCGCGCCGCGGTCTCGGCCAAGAACGGCTGCCCTTCTCCGCGGGGGCGGCGCGAGGGCCCCGAGCACGCGAAGGCAGCTGCACGCTCCCGCATCGCGGGGCTGGATTTGCAGAGTTAGGTGACCTCCAGGAGGAGGAGGAGGAGGAGGGGGAGGGGGAGAGGGGGAGAGGAGGAGGGAGGAGGAGGAGGAGGAGGAGGAGAGGAGGAGGAGGAGGAGGGAGGGGGAAGAGGGGGGAGGGACGAGTGGGGAGGAGGGGGAGGAGGAAGCAGGAGGAGGAGGAGGGAGGAGGAGCAGAGGAGGAGGAGATCGTGGGGTGCCCCATGCCCAGTTACTGCACGGTAGGTTCGCTCCCGCCGCCTCTCGGCCCGCCGAGGGCCGCCGAGGGCGCCGCCGAGGGGCCGCCGAGGGCCGCGCGAGGCGGCGCCCTCCGGGCCCGACGCCGTCGCGCTGATGCGGCTGGCCACGATGTCCGGCACCTGCGGGCAGACAGCCGTGCGCGCGTTCCGCTCCCTCGACGCCGAGACCATGCACAACTTGTCCAGGACCCGGCTTTCCTCCTCGTCCTCCTCCTCCTCCTCCTCCTCCTCCTCCTCCTCCTCATCCTCTTCTCTTCTCTTCTCTTCTCCTCCTCCTCCTTCTCCTTCTCCTCCTCCTTGTCCGCTCTTCTTCTCCTCCCCTCCTGCTCCTCTTCCTTTTTCTTCTCCTCCTCCTCCACCTCCTCCTCCTCCTTCTTCTCCTCCTCCTCCTCTGCTATTTTTCTCCTCCTCCTTCTCCTCATCCTCTTCTCTTCTTCTCCTCCCCTCCTCCCCTCCTGCTCGTCCTTCTCCTCCTGGAAGTGTCCAACCAATCCTCCCCCTTCTCCTTTACAATTACACAACATGAATACTATGTGATTATCTCCCCGTATGACGTCCAGAAGATATCCAGCCCCCCTTCCGAGTATTGTTTTTTACACGGGATTATTGTGAAATGGGTTTTCGCTTGGGTATGTTTTCAAAATGATGTTCCCGCTGAAGCGTTGGCCCCATTTCTGCGCCTCTAGTTGTTTGAAATCGTGCTCCCGCTGCAGCGCGGGCGTGTTCGGTCGTTCCAAATAGGCCCCAAAATCTAACAAATGCCCCCCCCCCCTCCCCCCCGAAAAAACATCGGAAGTAATTACACAATCGGTGTCGATTCGTGGCCCCCCTTTTGGGGTATCGTCGCTTTCAGGAAGTATCAAGCGGGAGCCCTGTTTCTGCTTTGATAAGGCGATGTTGAAAGCAGAGCCAGCGGTATTGTTTTTTACAGAGGGTTCCCGGGAACTGGGTTTTTGCTTTGGTTGTTTTTCAAAGTGTTGTTCCCGCTGAAGCGCTGGCCTCATTCTCGGGTTTCCGCTCGTTCCGAATCGTGTTCCCGCTGCAGCGCGGGTCTCATTTCCGCGCTTCCGCTCGTTCCAAGTCGTGCTCCCGCTGCAGCGCTGGCCTCATTATTTCGAGTGCCATGCCACGGCATGATTTTCGGTCCTTCCAAATAGTCCCCAGAATCTAGACAAAGGCCTCCCGAAAAGCCATCGGAAGGGATTACACATCCGGTGTCGATTCGTTATTTTGGGGGCCGCAGAAGCCCCCCCACTTAGAGGCGTCGCCACGCCATGCTATGTTGCGCTATGCCATGCTACGATATCCGGCTGTGCGACCAGAGAGAAAATCTACGCAACGGTGAGGGATGTGAGGGAGGGGTAGTACGTCAGATATGACTCGAGCGCACATGGCTTGTCCTCCTCCCCCTCCCCCTCCTCCTCCTCCTCCTCCTCCTCCTCCTCCTCCTCCTCCTCCTCTCCTCCTCCTCCTCCTCCTCCTATTCCTCTCTCCTCCTCCTCCTCCTCTTCCTCCTCCTCCTCCTCTTCCTCCTCCTCCCCACCTCCGCTCCTCCCCCTCCTCCTCCCCTCCCCGTCCCCTGCCTCCTTCTCCTCCTCCCCTCCTCCTCCTCCTCCTCCTCCTCCTCACTCCTCCTCCTCCTCCTCCTCCTCCTCCACCACCGTTCTCCTTATAGATAAACTCTTCCCGTTGCACCCCGATTCCATTTTGGAGCGGGCCTGGCGGTTCGCCGGAGACGTCCTCGCCTTTATATTCCGAAGTTAAAAATTACTCCGACGGAAGGACCCCCACATGATAACTCTCTATAGCTTGCATGGGGGTATCCTCCTGCCCTTCCCTGTCTCCCCTCTCCCACCTACTCTTGCATCCTCGTTCTCCTCCTGTCTGCTGTCTTGTCCTCCTCCTGCCTCGAAACCCCTGCCTCTTCCTCCTCTTCTTGCCTCCTCCACCTCCTCCCCCTCCCCCTCGTTATGCCTCCTCCCCCCCATTCCCCCTGCCCCTCCTGCCTCCGCCTCCTCCTCCTGCTCTCCCTTTCCCTTCTCCTCCTCCTCCTCATCCTCATCCCCTGTCCTCCTCCTCTCCCTCTCCCTCATCCGTTTCCTCCTCCTCCTCCTCCTCCTCCTCCTCCTCCTCCTCCTCGTTTCCATATTCCTCCCCCCTCCTCCCCCCCCTCCTCCTCCTCCTTCTCCTCCTCCTCCTGCCTCCTCCTTAGGCCTCCTGCCCCCTCCTGGGGCCTGCTGGAGCCTCTTGGGGCCTCCTGGAGCCTTCTGGGCCTTCCGGGACCTACTGGGGCCTCCTCGGGCATTCCTCCTCCTCCTGTTCCTCCTCGTCCTTCCTCCCCTCAGCCTCTTCCTCTTCCTGCTTTCCTGTCTCGTCCTGCATCAGCCCTTCTCCTTTTCCTGGCAATCCTCCTCGTCCTCGTGAGGAACACGACCCAGAGGAAGCGCACGACGTGCGTCCCAGCCGATACGCGCCGGAGGACGACCCAGAGGAAGCGCGGAGGATGACCCGGGGGAACCACGTGAGCTGCGGGACCCATAGGAAGGCTCCCGCCTGACGCGTCCTCACAGAATAGACAAGCGGAAGAAACACAAGCAGCAGACAACCAATAATAGAATCTGGACAAGCAAATTCACGCACAGACGATGGTCCCCTCTTGATACTACTTCCAGAATTCAGACCTGAAGGAGCCCAAAGTGACGACCAGTTACCAGGAATCCGATAACCCGCTCGGATTAATAACATGATCTGCGGGCCCCATAGGGACGGGGCTCCCGCTTGAGACTTGCTCGCAATTCACTGACAAACGAGGCTCCCGCCTGACACTACCTCCAAATTCAGACCTGAGGAGCCCAAAAGTGACGACAGTGACAAGAATCCGATGACCCGCTCGGATTACTAACATGATCTGCGGGCCCCATAGGGAAGGGGCTCCCGCCTGAGACTTCTTCACAATTCACTCACAGACGAGGCTCCCGCTTGATATTTCCTCCAAATTCAGACCTGAGGAGCCCAAAAGTGACGACAGTTACATGAATCCGATGACCCGCTCGGATTAGTAACATGATCTGCGGGCCCCATAGGGAGGGGGCTCCCGCCTGAGACTTCCTCACAATTCACTACAGACGAGGGTCCCGCTTGACACTTCTTCCAAATTCAGACCTGAGGAGCCCAAAAGTGACGACAGTTACAGGAATCCGATGACCCGCTCGGATTAGTAACATGATCTGCGGCCCCATAGGGAGGGGGCTCCCGCCTGAGACTTCCTCACAATTCACTCACAGACGAGGCTCCCGCTTGATACTTCCTCCAAATTCAAACCTTAAGAGCCCAGAAGTGATGGCAGTTACAGGAATCCGATGACCCGCTCGGATTAGTAACATGACCTGCGGGACCCATAGGAAGGCTCCCGCCTGACGCGTCCTCACAATTCACTCACAGACGAGGGTCCCGCTTGATACTTCTTCCAAATTCAGACCTGAGGAGCCCAAAAGTGACGACAATTACAGGTTTCCGATGACCCGCTCGGATTAGTAACATGATCTGCGGGCCCCATAGGGAGGGGGCTCCCGCCTGAGACTTGCTCGCAATTCACTGACAAACGAGGCTCCCGCCTGATACTTCCTCCAAATTCAGACCTGAGGAGCCCAAAAGTGACGACAGTTACAGGAATCCGATGACCCGCTCGGATTAGTAACATGATCTGCGGGCCCCATAGGGAGGGGGCTCCCGCCTGAGACTTTTTCGCAATTCACTCACAGACGAGGCTCCCGCTTGACATTTCCTCCAAATTCAGACCTGAGGAACCCAAAAGTTTCGACAGTTACAGGAATCCGATGACCCGCTCGGATTAGTAACATGATCTGCGGGCCCCATAGGGAGGGGGTTCCCGCCTGAGACCTCCTCACAATTCACTCACAGACGAGGCTCCCTCTTGGTGGATGATGGTGATGGGATGATGACGACGGTGTTTGATGATGATATATGATTGATGATGATGATGATGATGATGATGATGATGATGATGATGATGATGATGATGATGATGATGATGATGATGGTGGTGGTGGCGGTGATGATGACGACGTGATGATGATGATGATGGTGGTGATGATGAGTGCTGATGGTGAGTGATCGTGCGATTATGATGGTAAATGGTGGTGATGATGACGGGGACGAAGTGGTGAGTCAGCGAGTAGTGATGATGATGATGATGATGATGATGATGATGATGATGA